ATTGGGGTTGGAAGCCGAGATGTTGAAAGGCAGGTTTTAGGAATGGGGAAAATAACCGAGAATTGATTCTGAATGAACATGTCAACCTGGCCGACGTCCTGACGATCCAGTTGGATGAGATTGGGAGACTATATCTTTCCCAGCTCTGGATGCCTGGTTGCCTCTTCCATTTCATTCAGTCAAGCAATCGCGAAGGCCAGGCTAAATTCTTGCCTGTCCATTCCTAGACCCAAGGGCACATTTAAACGTGCATCTCTGCAACCTTTCCTCTGCCAGGTTATTTTCTGAAAAGTCTTGCTGGCAGATAAGTACAGGATTTGTTGTCCAGGCTCTGTTAATTTCTATTTGGCTGAGCCATGTCTGGAACGATGAAGGCTCGTGCTCCGAGCTTTGAAGCTTTCGGCTTAGGCTGCTGATACAGGGGAGGCGAAATGTTTGAAGTTTTCCCGGGGACAGAAAACATTTCATTATAGTGCCCACTAATGATCAGCTTAGTTTTGCAGATTTGAATTCTTCAGCATGATTCCGTTCCAGGAAAATACAAAAAGTGGTAGGTGGGTGGATAAAGTTTTGGATGTCACTTTTAAATGCTTGCTCAATGAAATGTGTTCTTTTTCTTTTAATTGAGAACAGTCACACTTGTTTATACTTTGAAGAGTTGCTGATTATAATTAGGGATTTGGTAGTTTTAAGGCTGGCAGGTTCCCTAAGATTATCCTCAAATCTCATCTGTTGGCATCAACTGCAAAGTAGTGTCTTTCAGATAGATCCGTAGAACGCAGAATAATAGGATTGGAAAAGACCTTCCAGCAGTCTAGCCTAGACTAGCCCCTGGCTCAAGCATTCTGGACAAATGGCTGTTCAGTCTGTTCTTGATGGACCAACTACAACTTCCAGAGGTAAGCCATCCCACTGATTAATTAGAATAGAATTGAGTTGGAAGGGACCTTGGAGGTCTTCTAGTCCAGCGCCCTCATCCTTCTCTTCATTAAACTAGACATACCCAATTCCAGCAACCGTTCTTTGTATGTTTTAGCCCCCTAATCATCTTTGTTGCTATTCTCTGCACTCTTTCTAGAGTCTCAACATCTTTTCTACATCGTGGTGACCAAAACTGGATGCAGTATTCCAAGGGTGGCCTTACCAAGGCCTTGTAAAGTGGTATTAACACTTCACGTGATCTTGATTCTATCCCTTTATTCAACTGAGCTTTAAATCTTTTGCAGATGCATATAAGCACAGAACTTAAAAGATACTGATGAAATAAAGGTAAACTTGAAAATTATTTTATATATTAGCTGTGTTCGCAAAACAGCTTGCCTATGGTTAAGAACTATAATTTACTTAACTCTCTGGGGTTGGGAGAGGCATCATAAATTGTTCACGCAGACTGGATTGGCCTGACAGCAAAGTTAAAAATGTGTTTGGTTTATTTCTGGTTCAGCATTGTGCAAAAGCAGCCATTTTGATGTCCAGTTGCATCAGTAACATTTTGCAATTGGATTTCAAAAGGAGCGTATTTTACATTTGCATTGCAGCTGCTTTGGGCAGAAATGTGGCCCAGCTGAACTCTTAAGAGCCAAGTAAATTAAGCCAGATGTTTCCAATAAGTGTCCAGATGAAATTGTTTGAATAGGGGAAAGCAGAACATTTTCAAAAAGGTCAATCTCAATAATGTACAAGTGCATGAAAGTTGTCTAAATGCACACGTGTGACGTGCATCATCCACAAGCTGAGCCTACAAGGTACAAAGTATTTTCATAATCTCATCTTGTTTTGGACTGAATATGCCTCCCCTGACTTCCACCAGTGACACGTTGCAAATCTTACTTACATAAAGTAAGTAAACATCTTTTTCAATATTTCTTAGAATTGGGTGCTGGGCTTCTGCTGCTCCCTGGTGGAATTTGTAGGGACAGCACAAATTCAGTCTTCTGAACTTTCTGCAGTGATTAGATTATGCTATAAATCAATAAACAAGGCAGAGCCATGAATGCATAGTTCATTTAATTAAGTTGCTTTTCATATTCACTCGTGTGTGTGTGTGTGTGTGTGTGTGTGTGTGTGTGTGTGTGTGTGTGTGTGTGTGTGTGTGTTCTGTTTTCCTGACTGTGGTTTGTCTTTATACACATACACAAAACATTTTAATCTCCTTTTTCAAAGCTACTGCCTTTCCTATCATTGGAATGTGACATCCATCCCCAGCCAAGGCCGATGACTTGAGCTCAGTGGGATGACATGTAGCACCATCCAACACATCTGGAATAGACTAGACTGAAAAAGGCAAGTTTCTAATCTTCTGAAGCCTTCATTCCCTGTATGAGTCGACCTATCATTTAAGATCTCCGGAGGATACTTTTCTTTGCAGGCAAAAGTTGCAGTATATCACGGTGGCCTAGCAGTTAAGACACTCGGCTTGTCAACCAGAAGGTTGGCAGTTCAAGACCCAAGTGCCGCTCAGCGGGGTGAGCTGCCAGCCTAGCAGTTTGAAAGCAAGCAAGCAGATAAACAGGCACCATTTTGATGGGAAGACAACAGCGTTCCGTGTGTCTTGGCATGTAGTCATTCTGGCCACATGACCAGCGACACTGGCTCCCTCGGCGAAGAAATGGAGATGAGTCAGAGATGACTGACCTTTGTCTTACCACCGGTGAGTATCAATGAAGCCACCTTCTTCATGGCTGCATCTCTGTAGGGCAGGTAGAAGCTACGTTGAACCCCACTGAAGGATCAGTGAATTAGCAAATGTTTCTGATGGACAACCCAACAACAGAGAATGGAAAGTTTGCTTCTCCCCTTTGGTGAGGTTTGTTGTTGCTGTTGTTGTTGTTAAAATGTACACTTCACAGTGTGGGTTCCCCAGATCAGTACCAAAGCATTGATCAGGTTTTTTTTCTAGACATTTAGCCCCATTTTCCAGCAAGCCTACCTCAATGCAGTGGTTAAGAAGCATTAAAATGTTCCATGTTAGAAACATCTGTACAGTAAAACAAGCAGCAGACTCTTATTCTGAATAGATGTAAAAAAAAAAAAGAATTACAAGAATTATGTCTTGTAATCGGAAAGCCTGGTGAAGTAGGTTTTGACAAGAAATTTCCAAAAGAATTACAGTGATCAAAGCTGCACAGGCTGGGCTTAAGTGAGACGTACGCACACACATAGGCACGTATCACATAGTGCTGGAAAACACTTGTTCCACAATAATAGTTATGTCAGCTATTGATCGCTGGAGAGTTGGGGAGAGCAGGGCTTGTCTGTCAAGCCAAATGTGGCATCTGACAGCTCAATCAATAGCTGGGACTTGCTTGGTGCACCCTGGAGAGAACTCCACGGGTTCCACTGCCACGAACACAGTCGGGAGGGGCTTACAATGTTTAGTTATGAGATAAACAAGGAGGATGAGTCTGGCTTAGAAATTCTGCAACTTTAAATAAGCGGCCATTATTATTTTGCCCACTGCCTGGAGTCCCTCTCTGAGGGAGAAGAGCAATTAAGAAATATGAAATATAAACAAACAAACCAGGGACTTTCAAAGAAATAGTACATCGTTCCATTCCCATTGCTCCCAGTCCTGTTTGTTTTTTTTTAATCTCTGGGCTTTTTAATATTGAATCTGCGTTTTTCTGTTAACGTTTATTTCTCTACCCCAGTGTTTCCCAAACTTGACAATTTTAAGGCATGCTGTGGAATTCTGGCAGTTGAAGTCCTCATGCCTTAAAATTGTCAAGTTTGGGAAACACTGCTCTACCCTATAGATCCTCCTCATTTGCAGATCTTTTTCTCCCATTAGCTGACACTGGGCTCCTATTTTGCACGAAACGACATTTGTTTGTGTTGGCTCAGTTTGTAGGAATCCAACCAATTATACAATTTAAATAAGCCACAAGTTAACAGAAGAGACAGGCTTTAGCTGCATGCAAGCCTTGAGCTTCATTCCCCACAGCTATCTCCGGTGGCTCCTTTCTCCCAGCATTCATTTCGGTAATGTTTCTGCATGTGTGCGCACACACTTCAGACGAGTATATAACTCACATATCAGACTCCTCACTGCTGAAACCGATCTGCGCTAAAGGTTACACAATGCCTTTAGAAATTCTGGTACCGCAAGCAAAGCTTTTAGAGACTGGGAAAAGGGCACAAATTTGGAAGGAAAAGCTTTGATGTTCCCCCAAAGATGTTTATACAGGTAGTCCTCTATCTACGATCACAAATGGAGGCCAAAATTTCTATTGCTAAGCGAGACAGTTGTTAAATTAATTCTGTCCCATTTTACAATCTCCCTTGGCACAGTTGTTAAGAAAATCACTGCAGTTGTTAAGTTAGTAACCCGGCTGTGAAGTGAATCTGCCTTCCCCCATTGATTTTGCTTGTCTGAAGGTTGCAAAAGGGGATCACGTGACCCAGGGACACTGCAAATCGTCATAAATACAAGTAATAATAATAATAGGAACTGCCTCCATCCTGCGATGATATCTGTAATACCATCTGCCTATCCCAGGTCCTGGGTAAGGACTCGATAGGTAGACAAAATGCCAAATCCAGTCTGAACATCTGGCTGACTGTGCGATGATCCATAATAATAAAGTTGGAAGGGACTTTGGAGGTCATCTAGTCCAACCCCCTGCTCAGGCAGGAAACCCTACACCATTTCGGACAAATGGCTGTCCAGTCTCTTCTTAAAAACTTCCAGTGTTGGAGCATTCACCGCTTCTGGAGGCAGGTAGTTCCACTGGTTAATTGTTCTCACTGTCAGGAAGTTTCTCCTTAGTTCTAGGTTGCTTCTCTCCTTGATGAGTTTCCATCTGTTGCTTCTTGTCCTGCCTTCAGGGGCTTTGGAGAATAGCTTGACTCCCTCTTCTTTGTGGCAGACCCTGAGATATTGGAAGGCTGCAATCACGTCCCCCCTCGCCCTTCTCTTCGTTAAAGTGTCTGAATTTTGCCAAGTGTCTGAATTTTGATCATGTGATCATGGGGATACTGCAATGATCACATGAAAAACTGCCTTAAGTCACTTTTTTCAATGCTGTTGTAACTTTGGTAAATGAACTCCTGTAAATTGAGGGCCACCTGTACACCTATTAGAAATGTTTATTTCAGGGACAACTGTATGGACTTAAACTGATTCTCAGTTGGGATAGCTGACAGCTTGTCTTGTGTTACGAATGCAACCCTCAAGTTACTTACTGCTTAGCTAGAAGCTGCCTCACTGCTACCATTATGCAGAGCATTAGCAAAGCATGGTAAAATTATCATTTTTTTTTTTTTTGTCATAGTATCTTAAACTAAGTTTTCTTAGTAGGGCCCAACAGAAAGATCTTCCATAAACTGCTTTTTAGAACCCCAATTCAGACAGACCCTGGTTACAGGTGAATTTAACAGCCACAGTTTAATTAACAAAGACAATAAAATTACAAATAATCAAATTATTGATGGCATCTGCCTGAGTGAGTAATTATATATATAACTTAATCCATACTTCAATTCATACTTGCTCTATTTAAATAGAGTTATGGTCCAATTCTGTGTTTTAGTGTAACCTATGCTCCTTTGGAATCAAGAGAAAAACACATTGGAGTGTGTGTGTGTCTTTTCACCAATGGGTAAAAATGAGGGAAATGCAGATGTATACATGCGAACAGAGGAAGCCAGCTGGACCACGGGTGGTTTCCATTTTATGTGCATACTAAGAGGAAAATGCTGTCCATCTTCTTTTCATCTCGTTTGACTTTGAGAAGAGCGGCTGCATTTTTATGCAAGACCATTTGCAAAGGTCTCCTCTGGGACCTTTTTTTTTTTTTTTTTTAAGTAAGTCTTTTTAAGAACTGGCCGTAAGTCAATTCAAGTCTTGTCTGCCGAGGGGAGGACAGCCCAACTTTCTACAATTTCTTGTAGAAAAAAAAGGCAAGGAGGTCCCTTTTTACAAAATTAAAATAAATTGCACAAAGTTTTAAAGGAGTTACACACCTTCATGGGGACAGTTTTGCATTAAGTTACTGCTGGTCTAGTCTGTGGATTATGTACATATTTACCAAAAAAAAAGAAAATAAATTACATGGATGTCTCACGAATGTAAAAGTCTTCACCCTAGATGTAAAGTGATTTTTCACCTGCCTTAGATATATGGCCATCGAGTCTGGAAAACCTGGGTTTCACAGGGCAAAGGAGTTGGTTGATGAAAGCTGCCGACGTGTTGCAAGTTGCAAGGGTAGTGCTTTCAGGTAGGGGTGTGTGTGTGTGTGTGTGTGTGTGTGTGTGTGTGTGTGTTTCCCTGAGGGTCCAGCTCTTTTATGGGAAAGGGACTAGACACCATTGGCGCTGGCTTTGCTGCTCCGGGGTGCTTCTATTTTCGTCTTTTAAAAGAAAAGAATAATGGGCAAATATCAGTAACGAAGGTAAAAGGAGACAATTGCTGCATTTTTATTTTATCTTTTTTTTCCCCACACGTCTGTGTGTCACTTCAAGGAGGTAAACATAGCTAATACTCCTGCCTCTTCCTATTTTTCCCACAACGACCCTATGAGGTGGGTTGGGTTGAGAGAGTGAGGGACTGGCCCAAAGTCACTCACCTGGCTTTCCTGTCAAAGGGAACTAGAACTGGAACTCACAGTCTCCTGGTTTTGAGGCCAGCACTTTAACCACTACACCAGGGTTCTTCAAACTTGACCCTTTTATGACTTGTGGACTTCAACTCCCAGAATTCCTCAGTCAGCCATTTTGATGAAACTGCGGGCTTGGATCCAGACCAGGGGTCTTCAAACTCGGCCCTTTTAGGACTTGTGGACATGCCTGGCTGAAGAATTCTGCGAGTTGAAGTCCACAAGTCATAAAAGGGTCAAGTTTGAAGACCCCTGCACTACACCACTATTATCCAGGGACTTTAGGCTGTGTGGACTTCAACTCTCAACAAGATGCTTGGGGCATTCTGGAAGTGGAAAGCCGTACCATTTAAAAGTTGCCATGTTTAAAAAACAGTATACTACATCAGCTGGCTCTCAATGTTTTTGGAGATTGAGTACAATGTCAGACCAGCCCTTTTCTTTCGATCAGTTAAGATATATTCACATTATAAAAAAACTATCCATGGAATCTGTAGAGCATTAATCTTAGCACACTTTGATGTCCTCCCTATAGCAATTCTTGAGGGTTCATAAAGCTAAGATTGTGGCCCTCTGGAGAAGGGTCTATTGAAACAATAGTCTATATTCTGTTATATTGCATTTAAAAAAAGGAAAGAAAGAATGCAATCACACCTTCTTTAACGAAGTATCCAGGCTATCCTAGTCCAGATGTTAATTATCAAAGGGGTACGATTCAGTTTCTTGAATGTGGCCAAATTTTGCTGTGGCTGTTTATAAAACCAGACATCCTTTGATTGCATGGATAATCTAGGTATAAACTATAGGGTTTTATTCTGTTTCGTCTGCGGTTAATGTTGAATTCTGCTTAATGACTATATAAACTACAGAACATGGTCAGAACGTGGTTTAAAAAAAAAACCCAAACTCTTCTTAGAACCTCATCCTGACTGGTCCTTCTTCTTAGTAAATGCTTGTGACATCTTAAATAGGACGCCAATTTCTACTCTGATCAAAATATCGCCATAGTTCTTTTTAATATCCAGCCGTTACGCTGTATTCTGACTCCAAACTTTGGGTAGGATCATTTATCTTTCCATAATTGGGTGTCTGGGTGTGTTTTGTTTTTAACAGTTTCTACCAGCTATGCATTTTAGTCATATGTGTCTTTGTGTTCTAATCTACACCAATCCTTTTCTGTTTGTTGACCCTGTCCTCTACTTCCCACGGATTAAAAATTATATCTTCTCCCCATATATTCAGGTTTGTTTTTGCATACTGTGGGGCCAAAAGTATTGTCCAAAATGAAAACTCACCTCTCCCACAGGAGGCTTGACTGACATTTCAGGAGCTGATAATTTGTCCTTTGGAGGCATTACAAATTCTTCACTCTTCCAAATAGAGGGAAAGAAGAAATGAAGTCAACGAAGCTCTATAATAGACTGTTATTCCAGAGTTAGAAGCAACTGGCTGAAGTATTCCGTATTCCAAATTCCCACATTCTTAAGATTAAGGAGGATATCTGCCTTCCTCTGCTAGCAGAAAGAGCATGGCTATGGTGTGGTACCAACAGCAGCGATGATCTCCCCACCACACTGGCAGGGTAAGCTACTATAAACAGGGAACAGACACCAGATCCTCCAGCACTGATGATGCTACCTAGATGGGTAATGAAATGTCTCCAAGCAAACAACCAAGCTCAGAGGACACAAAGGACTCCAAAATAGGCACAGCTGAAAACGTACACCCCAATTCTCACCTTCCTCTCCTGCACAATGGGGGCAGAGTCCAACAAGGTCTCCTCCTCTTCCTCATCCTCATCATCCTCTATTTCTGCATCCTCACTCTTCAGAGGCTGAAGAACAAATGAAATGCCTGGGTTAAGTCAAACCTAGACATCACAAAAGCACACTGTGGTTAAAAAGCACTGTGGTCTACTTAGTTTATCAAATATGTGAACAACCGGTTCTCTGCGTGGATGCCGCTTCCAGAAGTCTATTTTGGGCCTGGGCAACAAAAAGTTAGCTACCGGTTCTGCCGAAGTGGTGCAAACCGGCTGAATCCCACCACTGTTCTCTAAGTGGTTTACAATGTTAGCATCTTGTCCCCAACAATCTGGGTCCTCGTTTTACCGACCTCAGAAGGATGGAAGGCTGAGTCCACCTTGAGACTGTAAGGATCGAACTCCTGGCTGTGGGCAGAGTCAGCCTGCAATACTGCATTCTAAGCACCGCACCACAATGGGAAGGAAGGAAGGAAGGAAGGAAGGAAGGAAGGAAGGAAGGAAGGAAGGAAGGAAGGAAGGAAGGAAGGAAGGAAGGAAGGGCAATAGCACTAAGACTTCTATACCGCTTCATAGTGCTTTTATAGCCCTCTCTGAGCAGTTTACAGAGTCAGCCTCTTGCCCCCAACAATCTGGTTCTCTCGTTTTACCGACCTCGGAAGGATGGAAGACTGAGTCAATCTTGAGCTGATCAGGATCGAACGCCTGGCAGTGGGCAGAGTCAGCCTGCAATACTGCATTCTAACCATTGCGCCACTGAGGCTCCTCTCCAAGGCCGAGCAAGGAGAAGCTGCTATCCCTTGCTTCCTAGTCTTGCTCTGCCATCAGGAAACAGACCAGGATTGTTTGACGGTCATGGCTACAAAACCGGCTCACCTTAGTTGTATTCACCACCATCGGTTTGGGACTCACGTCGGTCAAGTACAAGGCACGAGAAAGCAGGAGCAATGAAGGAGGAACTTTTTCTTTGAGATTCAAATCCAGCCACTGTACAACAGAGAAGAGGAGAAAGATCAATCAGCGCAACTTTCTGGGAAATTAAACTTTTTGCAAATCTAAACCTTCCAGATGGGAGGGTTGAAAAAAAAAAAACCAACTCCTTTTTCTTTAGCAAGAACTTTCCTTTATATTCTGCACCAGTTTGGCTCTCTGATGCTCAGCTTGTCAGCTGGAAAGCAGACAACCCGACAGGGTGAGTTCCCGTTTTTATCCCAGTTCCTGTCAACCTAGCAGTTCGAAAGCATGCAGATGCAAGTAGATTAATAGGTATCACTTTGGTGGGAAAGTAACAGCGTTCTGTGCATCTTCGGTGTATAGTCACACAAACACAGAAATGACTTCGGATAATGCTGGCTCCCTCGGCTAGGAAGCAGGGACGAGCAACGCCCCCTAGAGCAGGGGTGTCAAACTGCCGGCCTGCGGGCCGGATGCGTCATGCCGAAACCGCGCCCACCCCATTGCCGGCAATGGGGGGAAAAAGTCGCAATATGTCGCGACACGTCACGCGACATCGTGACTTTGACACCTCTGACCTGGACAGGGGAAACCTTTAACTTTACCTCTTAGGTTGCAAGAACTAAGGTATGCTTGATGGAGCAAAATCCCTAAAGAAAGCCACACGGTCTTGCTGAAAGGTTGAACTGCCTGCCTGGGTGGAGACCATGTCTGACTCCAAAGCTGCTGGTTGCCAAGCCTGAGCTTCCCTCTTGAGATTTCACTGCTCAGAGTGGAAAGTGAGCTTCCTGCAAGCAGAGCACTCCGTCCTCCATCCTAAGGACCTGCTTTCAGAACCTGCTGAGCGCCACTAAGGACGCCTACGTAAGCAGCCTCTTTCCTATCCGCTCCATCTGCGTTCTTAGCGCAGCTGGAACAACTGCTTGGATCTGTAAAATTCAACGGGAACATTTTCGAATCTCGTTCTGAACCAATCAGACCAACGAGGGATCTGGCTGCAGAAGTAGACCCACTGTCTCTTATAGCAACCTTCTCCTGTGTGGTGCTTTTTTAGGATCAGTGAACATTTCCCATTTTTGCAGATGTTGGTTTGGAAGAGGAAGTGATTGCCTTGCAGTCAAGCAACAGGTTGGTAGAGGCCGTGTTAAAATACCCCATGGGCCCTTTGCAGTTTTTTTTTTTTAAAGGTTAGCCTGGTCCATTGTAGCATCCCAAACAAATGCTCGGAGGGAGAGGTCACGTATGACTTGTGGTTTCCACCCAATCAGGACCAGGAAGCACCCTTTGGATATTCTTCTCAGGCTCCATTTCCTTCCCTCCCCCCCTCATCCCTAACTTACCTGGTTCAGTTGCTCTTTGAGCTGGTCCTCCGTGAGGCCCAGTGACCTCATTCCTCTTGCTCTGCACGCACTCTGCAGCTCAGACACGCTCAAGCCATTAACACCTTCCTTGGCTATCATCTACAGACAGCAAAGAGCAAAAACCAGCATCAGGCAGATCATTTAACAACATCAAGGCTCCCATCCCATTCAGGCTACTTACTGCCATTTTAGAAGGGATCTAAATAACAGGCAACATTTAGCCAGCATCATTCTCTTGACCGGCTTGCCCAGAATTTAAAGGTGAGCCGAGGTGGCGCAGCAGTTAGAGTGCAGTACTGCAGGCCACTTTAGCTGACTGTGTTCAGCAGGTCAGCGGTTCAAATCTCACCGGCTCAAGGTTGACTCAGCCTTCCATCCTTCCGGGGCAGGTAAAATGAGGACCCAGATTGTTGGGGCAATGTAAATATATACATACTTTGCTTACTGGTGTACAACGCTTAGAGAGTGCTTGCACTTAAAATGGTATATAAGTCTCATAAATAAATAAATAAATAAATAAATAAATAAATAAATAAATAAAGGTACCGTGTATGCCGCCGTACAAAGCGACCCGGCGTATAAGATGACCCCCGTCTTTGTCGCCGAGCCGCATTCCTAGAACGTCGTCTTATAAGCCGGAAATTACCAGTATTTCCGGCGTATAAGACAACTCAGCGTATAAGATGACCCCCGTCTTTGGCGCCGATTTTAACGCTTGCAGAAGTCGCCTTATACGCCGGCATATACGGTAGCTTTCTAAGCTCTTGGTGAAAGACAAATGCATCTCCTTACCTCGTCATCAGCTTTGATGGATCTAAGCTTCATCAGAAGCTGGAAACGAAGGAGGTTGTTCGTGCCAATGGGCTGTAACTCCAGCAGTTTGCAAAGGATGACCAGCTGGGACCGCTCCAGGTGTTCCAGGGTCAGCTCATCCTCGAACAGTTTGGAAAACTGCACGATTTCCTGGGTGCTGGGTTGCTGGCCGCTATGTCGAACCTAAACGCAATCAATGAGCACTCCGGAATTAGTCTCCCCAACCCATTGCTCGTTTTCTCTACGATAAGGCTGCCCAAACTAAAGACATTTCCTCCAAGAGAGAAAAGCCTGCTCCTATCATTTTACCTCAAGACGGCGAGTAAAATCTTTCTTGTCTGCCACTGATTTTAATGATACAGTATTTGGCCATCTTTAATCTTGTTAAATTCTTGATAGCGTTTCCCAATACTTTGCATTTTCCTGGTTTTATTACTGTTCTAGGAAGCTATTGGCAGCACGAAATGCATTTTCATGATTTGGACTTATTGTTATTTTTCATCCTGGTTCAGAAAACTGGACAGGAGAGCTATCTTAAAAGAAGATGCAGAGTTCCTAATAAATGCATCCACTTAAAATTACTACAAGCCCCTCACAATGGTGTGAAATTATGGAAGAAACTTATAATGATAGCTCTACCCGCCCACCTGGGTGAATTGAGAACCTCCATCGGCATCAAGATCAGACATGAAATCAAAGGCGTTAATTGAGGCTGCATCAAACTTTTATTTTTAATGTTTCAGTTTTGTTTATATAAACAGGGGTGTGCAACCTTGGCAACTTTAAGGACCTGTGGACTTGGTGCTGGCTGGGGAATTCTGGGAGTTGGAAATCCACAAGTCTTAAAGTTAGCAAGGTTGGAGACTCTTGGTTTAAACAGTTCCACCTTACAGGAGACTTTTAGAGCTCATCAGCAATCTTTAAATGAAGCATAAAAAGCTCCAGGGCTCCAGCTTTCCGATTCACTGAGGGAAACATACCTTCTGAACGTAGGAAGAAAACAGCTGGGTAGCTGCTCCTGTGCTGGCTTTGTTCCTTCTGGCCAACTCCGCAATGGTCTCCTGCAAGAATTTGGCTAGCTGCAACTTGGCACTCAGTTTCTTCCTCTGCTTTTCTTCCTTAGTGCAAAGAATAATGAGAAAGGTGAGGAATTCTCTCACAAAGCAATGAGTCGCTTGCCATTCTTGGCGAAAGTAAAACTCTTTATCTTCTTTTCACTGTACCACTTGCTGGGAAAGGGGGGGGAAAGAAGAATATTCTAAAGAGAAAGAGAAAAAAAATATCAAAAAAGACAAAGGGAGAGACAAAAAGCCAACAGATATTTATATATACATATACATATACATACATACATACATACATACATATATACATACATACATACATATATATATATATTTGTAGATTTTCATGGGTATATGTATTCGGGTCTTTTTCCCGTGTAAGATTGAGAGTATATTGGTGACGTTTCAACGAGGTCCCACTTGTCATCTTCAGGCTGGGGTCTTCGGCTTCATGCTTGTGCAAGCAAAGTGTGATCGGAGCTGCCATCTCTCTATATATATTGGTGGGGGGGCGTGGAGTGCTGGCTTAGTTGCTGTAGGTGGATTGGTTGGCTGTATAGGAGCTATTGTTTGCGGATTGTTTGGCTGTTTCGTAACATCCTGAGTAGTTGAGGTGCTGGCTGTGTGCCCATTAGTCTTTTGTGTTGTAACGACCTGGGTAATGGGTTGTGTGATCACATCCTGAGATCTAGTGCAGTGATATCCTGAGTTCTGTGTTGCACCATCCTGGGTGGTTGGCTGTGTTGTGACATCCTGAGCTCATAATGCCCCATCCCCCAAATGCTTTAAAGATATTTAAAACTCTTCTAGTCCTCTTTGAAACAGTACAGGTAGCCCTGTACGATCCAAAATTTCCATTGCTAAAGCAAGACAGTGCTTGAGTTCTGCCCCATTTTATTCCTAAGATATAGCTGGACACGAAGATGGAGCTTTTTTTTTCAAATTTGAAAAACTGACCTTTTTAGATTCCGTTTCAAAGGTTGAAGGCAACATCTCAGGAAAGAGTTTAAGAAATACAGGTAACAGGAATTCCATGAAAGGTACTATGATGAACACCAAGAAGGGAACCAGCCGGAAAAGATCTGCTGATGTTCTCATCAGCTGAAGAAACAGAAACACAAGACAAAACATGACACTGTTCATCCATTGCCCTAAGGTAGGGGTAGGCAACCCTGGCTCTTTTATGACTCGTGGACCTCAACTCTCAGAATTCCTGAGCCAGCCATGCTGAGGGGAAAGGGAGAGGTTTCCAAGCTGAGCTGTGCTGGCTCAGGAATTCTGGGAGTTGAAGTCCACGAGTCATGAAACAGCCAAGGTTGCCTAGCCCTGCCCTAAGGCATGGTTAATCGTAAATATGTTTCAATAAGCCATCATACTGAAATCATATTAACATTACTAAACCAAAACCAAGTAAATGAAATAATGGCTTACAACCATCCCTGAATTTCTCTCCTTTCCACTAAAAAGAGTAGGAGAAACTTTGTTCCAAGCAAGCACTTCGCCAATTTAATTTCAGAGTGCCAGCATTTTATCTGCAGAAAAGCCTGCTGGCTTGTTTTAAGAAATAAAGTCAAACAATTTTATTCAACAGCTTTTCTCTTTTTTTTAATGAGAAGGTGGGTTCGGGATTCAGGCCTTACTGTGATGTGTTACCGCAATCAAACATTTGAGTGAAGGCAAATCTACAGGTCCCAGGACATTGTAGGATCCAATCTGGGTCGATCACTGGGAGCACAGGGTTCGTCTTTCAAGCTTTTGGACTCGTGGCTGGGCTCCAATACCAGTCAAAAGCTTGCAGGGCTAAACCTCTGGTCCCAGTGACCGACCCAAACTGGACCTTGAAACATTTGGGAGCGTATGATGGAGACACACTCTCTCTTACACCACGTAGCAAGTCACACGTAAAGGGGACACGTGAGTTATCAGCAAGTAGGGATTCCAAATTCACTGCTAGAAAAAAAGTGCTCGAGTTATGACCATAACTGAGCCTGGCAAATACGGTCATAAGTCATCAAGGTTATAAAGTGGGATGCCCTGTGACTGGACCCAATTTGAGGTTCCTTGTTCGCAGCAGTCATTAAATGAACACCACAGTCGTTAAATGAACTCACTGTTCTCTATGGGTGGTTTTTGCCCCAAATCAGAAATAAATGCCGATTTCCAGCAAAACCATCATAAATTGCGGTCACTATGACTATGGGCCAATGCAAATAGTTGTAAATGAGAGCCTAAGGAGATTCTCAGTCATCCAGGTTCATGGTTGACCCAAAGGTGCTTTTTTCACGAGGCAACTGGACTTTCTTGTTTTTCTTTGAAGACGTTTCGCTTCTCATCCAAGAAGCTTCTTCAGCTCTGACTGGACGGTGGGGAATGGAAGGATTCGCATCATTTGCATTCTTTTTTTGACCAGCTGTCTGCAAAGAGGATAACTCCTTCCATTCCCCACCATCCAGTCAGAGCCGAAGAAGCTTCTTGGATGAGAAATAAAACATCTTCAGAGGAAAAACCAGAAAATCCAGGTGCCTCCTGAAAAAACACCTTTGGGCCGTAAAGGTGAGCCAGTTGCCAAATGCCCCTAATGTGGTCACATGACTGGAAGAGGGGGGTGACCGCAGAACTTCGGAACCAGCTTGTCAGTAGCTTTTGGGGAGGTCTGTCATGAGGTCAGCCATAAGTTGAGGACTACGAAGGAGCCTCATGTTCTAAAGCAGTGGTTCTCAACCTGTGGGTCGGGACCCCATTTGGGGTCGAACGACCATTTCACGGGGGTCGCCAAACAATTCAGTCCGCCATTTTTGTCCCCTTTTCCTTAGCTGTGCTACTCCCTTTTATTCTATTGGCTTTTGAAAGCCAATAGAATAGACTCTCTTGAATAGAGTCTAATTCTATTGGCTTTCAAAAGCCAATAGGAATTGTCCAGGCTGTCTCTGCCCTGCTGAGCCCGCCAAAAGTCCCATTCTGCAAACGGTGCTGCACCAGTTGAGTAGTCCTCGACTTACGACCGGTTGAGTAGTCCTCAACTTACGACCGGTTGGGGTCATGGCATTAAAAAGGTTGAGAACCACTGTTCTAAAGCAAGCTGAAACTCTGTTCCTGAATCCCAGAAGAAATCGCCGGGGAAACTGACCGCTGGGCCTGATGCTCTAATCCCGCAAAGCAGGCGCTTTGCCTTTATTGGGGAAATGAACAAGAAGGTGGGAACGATCCAAGCGAAATGCCCAGCTCTCCTTTATTCAGCCCATCGATCGACTGGGTTGTAAAGTCACCTTCTCTCAGAACTGTTTGCTTTGTCCAGCGAATAAGAATCCGCTGCTGAATACTGTCCCTTCAAGGGGAAGCCTTGAAGAGCCGAGGTGGCGCAGCAGTTAGAGTGCAGTACTGCAGGCCACTTTAGCTGACTGTGTTCAGCAGGTCAGCGGTTCAAATCTCACCGGCTCAAGGTTGACTCAGCCTTCCATCCTTCCGGGGTAGGTAAAATGAGGACCCAGATTGTTGGGGGCAATGTAAATATATATATACATTGCTTACTGGTGTACACCGCTTAGAGAGTGCTTGCACTTAAAGCGGTATATAAGTCTCATAAATAAATAAATAAGCCATCAGTCGCGCGCAGGGGCTAGTTTGCTGGCTGCTCCCCACAGCCAGCCAAGCTCACCCTTCGTCTCTCCCGCCTGGTGAGCACTTGCCCGTGTAACAGTCTCCAGACCATCCGAGCGGCGACTTTGGTGTCGATCCAGAGCAAGTGGAATCCGTTGTAATAGTGTCTCAGTTCATCTACAATCCTCTGCCAGAGCGATCTCCTGAGGGTCTCGGCGGCCTTGCCTGGAGGGCTGGCCGGAGCGTGGTCTGTTCTTACAGGACTTGGCTCAGGGCGAGGTTTGTCCTGATGCCAACAAGCTGACGTGTGAAACATCCGCATCGGTCGAATCAGCAAGTGAAGCCAACCGTTTCCCTGCGGTGAACTGGAGAGGAGCCGGTGGCTTTCAGAGTCCTTCAGGAACGTTCCGTTACGGTGGGAATCCAACAGTTGTGCAAGGGCAGCTGATGAGGAGAACAGGGAACAGCAGGAGTGCACAAGCAGGTGTGATCCTCTGGAAGAGAAAGAGTCTCAATCACTGCTGCAGCCAAGGATTGGGGTTATGGCTGGCGAGGGATACATTTTGCAAGGCCTTGATCAGGAGCTCTGATCTTGAAATCCAAAGAGGTCTAGCATGGCCTTCTCAGGCTGAGACGTTTCATAGGTAGTCCTTGACTTACGACCAAAACTGAGCCCCAAATTTCTGCGGTTTAAGCGAAACACTTGTTAAGGGAGAGTTGCCCCATTTGGCAATCTTTTTTGCCATCATTGGTAAGCGAATCACGGCAGTTGTTAAATTGCTTGTTGTTAAATTTGCTTGTCAGAAGGTTGCAAAAGGGGATGGTGTGACCCCCTCCCCAGGACACTGCAACAGTCATAAATGTGAGTCAGTTTGCCAAGGGGAAGGAATTCTGATCACGGGGATGCCGCAACGGTTGTAAGCGTGAAACATGGTCACACGTCGCTTTTGTCAGTGCCGTTGTAGCTTCGAACAGTCACTGAGCAAACTGTTGTAAGTCGAGGACTACCTATATCCACAGAGGCGTTATGACCTACTGCAGCTTCTTTCATTAGAAGTACTGAATGTTTTCCAACCTTGGCAACTTTAAGATGGGTGGACTTCAATTCCCAGAATTCCACAGCCAGCATGCAGCGTGGGAGTTGAATACACCTTAAAATTGCTAAGCTTCAGAAATACGGGGCTAAACTGATGTAAGATGGAAACTGGGAGGTGGGGCAGATATGCTAGGTCAGGGGTAGGCAACCATGGCTCTTTTATGACTCCTGGACTTCAACTCCCAGAATTCCTGAGCCAGCATGAGGGAAACTTTGGCTCCTTCATGACTCCTGGACTTCAACTCCCAGAATTCCTAAGCCAACATGGCCCAGCTTGGAAACCTCTCCCTTTCCCCTCAGCATGGCTGGCTCAGGAATTCTGGGAGTTGAAGTCCACGAGTCATAAAAGAGCCAAGGTTGCCTACCTCTGGCCTAGGTTAAGGAATGTATTTCTTAGCCCTAGTCATAGCTACTGTATTTACCATGCTTGCAACTGGATACAGGTTATAATTTCTCAGCTCTAGATGACGGAGGATGAGGAAATTACGGATTTTTTATTATTCAAACCAGATAATGTAATGCAAGAGCTCTTATATTTATTTAGTTCAGATCCCAGTTTTTTTATATTTCACAAAAAGAAAATCTACATGGGTGAATGCTATCAGTGCGCCAGTGATGAACAAAAATAATACACCTGATATTGCTTTTTTTCTATTAAATTTAAATCAGTACAACTGTTTTACACTATTCACTAAATGTTTAATACAATGCCATGTAATTTTGACTGAAGTTAGTAATCAAATAAAAACTCATGAACTTCCTTCATGATAGAAAATAGCTATCACTGCTGCTTTTTGGATGAAATTCAAGGATCTAAAATAATGACATATTTCAGATATCAAGATTTCATTTCTTACCTGGTCCTAGCTACTGCAAGGAATATGTTACAGCTGTAGATGGCCATGTTTTGCTTGGAATCTGTTTACTTCATCTATGGCATGATAAAAAAAAACAGCATTCTAAATAAACTATTATTTTTATTAAAAAAAGTCCAATAATTAAAATACCAGTAAGGAATATAGACATATACCAGTTAAATAAATGATTTTGGAATATTCAACAATAGATAGTCATCTAGGAAGTATTAGTAAATACAACTTCTATCCATTATAAATCATGGGATTAAGGATCATTTCAGATATATTACGTAACAAATGTCCATTTTTTATCCCAGTCACATGATAAACTTTCCCAGTCCTGATTCTTGAGGTTTGTGTGGCAAAAAATTTATCTTATGTAAACATTCAGTAAATTCATGTAAGAATAATTAATTACCGCAAAAGAAAATGAAATATGGATGTTTTGTACTTGAGCCAAATCTGTTCAAGTAATTACTCTTAATGCATAATTTTAATATTGTTGTTATTACCATTTTCCCTTGTCACTTGATAAGGATATGGACAATTGATTTTTTCAGCATAAAATTCTATAGAATCTTTTCTATATTGCCAATTAAAATATCGTTCAAAAGGTATTAATAGGGGATGGGCAGTGTAATTCTAAGGATCCTTAAATAAATATATACACAATATTTTTTCACCTTGTATTAAGCCAGAATATGGTGGTTTGGATTTTGGTTTAGTAAAAAGCTAACCAATGGTGATTTATTCAACATGCTATATACTTAATGGAATACAAATCTAGCTGCAATGTTGAAAAGTTTGGATATCCTTTCTGTTAGCTCAGACCCTGTGAAGGGAAATGTTTAATAACAGAATTAGACTGATGAAGAATAGGATTCCAAGGAATGGAGTCCCCCTACATGGATCAACTGTCAAGTCTTCATTACAAAATACACAGAACTGGAATGCAAGTTAAAGTAGCCACTTATTTATTAGCAAAATAATATAAGGAGAGTCAGTTTGGTGTAGCAGTTAGGTTAGAAACGGAGAGACCATGAGCTCTGGTCCCACCTTGGGCACAAAGCCAGCTGGGGGATCTTTAATAATAATAATAAAGTTGGAGGTCATCTAGTCCAATCCCCTGCTCAGGCAGGAAACCCTATATCATTTCAGACAAATGGCTGTCCAGTCTCTTCTTAAAAACTTCCAGTGTTGGAACATTCACTGCTTCTGGAGGCAGGTTGGGCCCGTCCCTTTCCCTCAGCCCTAGGAAGAAGGAGCAATGGCAAACTACTTCCAACATCTTACTAAGAAAACTGCAGGGAGCTGTCCAGGCAGTTGCCAGGAGTAAACACCACCTCAAAGGCATAAAAATAAAATAAAACAAAACAAAGCAAAACCTCCACTCCCACCCACTCTGTCTTAACACTCAGTTCCCTTCACTGCCAGCTGTCAAGCTCAATTTCCAAAGAAAACATCCACACACACCCGTACTATTTTCTTGGCTACCCTGCAGAACAAATTTGACTTTGATGGCTTCTGGGGTGGGTTCCTCCCCACCCACCCACTCACTTTCCAGTCTATCCTGGAGTCCCAAGAACTCCCATCAAAATACTGGCCAGGATCATCCTTAGTTTTGTTTTGCTTTTAGATTGGATCAGCCAAGGTGAGCTTGGAGCTGCCAGTTGCAACCCCTTGTAAAGTCACAGCCACCCCCTACCTCATCCTGAGGACCCCCCCTCTCTTTCCCAAGGGCCCCCTCCTCCCTCCCTCCCCTGAAAAACATCTGGGACCATTTGCACCCATCCGGGTAAGCAACCCGTGCCCAGCTCCAGCTCTCCATCCTTTACACCAACACACCCCAACACCTACGTCACACGTGTTTTTTTTAATACACGTTTTTTAACAAATGTAAATCTGTTTTTCCTCGTTTTCCCTTTTATTTATGTACCGGTATTTATTTTGTGCGCTCACCTGCTGCCCTGAACTGACTCTGCCCTGCCCCGCCCCGCGCCCCGCCTCCCGCAACCGGGCCGCTAGAGCGCCACCTTCTTCCGGGAGTGGCCGGGGATTCCCGTCAGCCCCCGCGGCTCTCCGGAAGTGCAACCTAGAAGCCGCTCTAGCCGGCGAGGCTTTTTTTTTTTTTTCCCCCTGTCCTCTCTCTCCCGGGCCGCCCTTCGTTTGCTGGGTAACCAATAACAGCGCGGGGCGGGGGGAAAGGGGGCGGGGCTTCGAGTTGGAGGCGCTGGAGCGACAGGAGAGGGGCGGGGCGGTTCTGCAAGGCTTTCTTAAAGCTAAGTTGATGCGGAAGGGGGCTCGTTTGCAGGACCTTTTTTTTTGGAAAGGAATTAAGAAATTACATTTTATATCAAACCGGTATATGTGCACCTTTAAGACGTAAATAAGCACTTGCTATGTGTGGGCCTTCAAGCCCGCACTAGCATTAGCTAAATGCACTAGGCAGGGGTAGGCAACCTTGGCTCTTTTATGACTCGTGGACAGCCAAGGTTGCCTACCCCTGCACTAGTCTTTATGAGACTCCTGTGCAGGGTGTGTGTGGCTATCTCGTAGACAGGCACAGCTGCTTTTATAAGTTAATTGCTTTACCAAGTTAAAAAACTGCCCGTTCACCCTTCCGTTTGGAGGCTGTTCTAACGACAGAGAGGTGAGTAACGGCTTTGCAATGTCCCCCCCCCCCGTTAATGCTGCAGGTCAAAGATGGGAATTCCAAGTCAATTCACCAAGTTTTAAAATGCAGAGGTTTCTCGTCCCTTAGCGACGCTGAGGTTGTGATACGGGTTAAGCCTGTTGTGGGTAGTCGCTTAAACGGAATAGTCACTTTTTTTTTGCACTGATTGGCTTTTGATCAATATGGCACGTTTACCCTTCTTCCAGGATGCTCTAAGTTAATTTTAAAAAAAAATCTTGTATGATGTACTTGGGAGTGACCAACTAACAAAGTTAGTTCAACCGGGTTTTGAAGTCATACTTGAGGGCAGGGGTCTTCCAACTTGGCCCTTTTATGACTTGTAGACTTCAACTCCCAGAATTCGTGCCTGGCTGAGGAATTCTGGGAGTTGAAGTCCACAAGTCATGAAAGGGCCAAGTTGGAAGACCACTGATATAGACTTTAAGAGGAGTGGACTTCAACTCCCAGAATTCCTCAGCCAGGCATGCTGGGAGTTGAAGTCCACAAGTCATAAAAGGGCCAAGTTTGAAAACCCCTGCTTTAGGGGAACAGAGCCAGGGTTGATAGGGACCCTCCATATTCTTCCGTTTTATCCTCTGTTTTATTCTTTAATTTCCTACTTCGTAGTAGTAGCAGCAGCAGCAGCAGCAGCAGCAGCAGCAGGGGGTTGTTTCTGAAGAATCATTATCTTTCTGTCCCCTCTGCTCTGCAGAGGCAACGTTTGCCCAAAATTACCTTCCATCCAGAGCAGGGGGAGGCAACCTTGGCCCTTTTATGACTTGTGGACTTCAACTCCCAGAATTCCTGAGCCAGCATTGCTCAGCTTGGAAACCTCTTCCTTTCCCTCAGCATGGCTGGCTCGGGAATTCTGGGAGTTGAAGTCCACGAGTCATAAGAGAGCCAAGGTTGCCTACCCCTGATCCAGAGGATGAAGAAAAAGCTCTTTTGGAGGGCTCCTTTAATTAACAGATTGACGCTCTCATTAGAGTGATCCCTTTGTATGTCATTCCAGATGCTTTCTCTGGCTGTGGTTGATTTTACTAATTGCCATATGTTCTGTGGATTGTTGTCAGTTGTGTGGCATGCTGCTGAGAGCTTTTGACTGTGGCAGTATAAAAATGTAAGGAAGAAAGAAAAAAAGAATGGTATAAAGGAGCTTCAGCAGCACTGTGCTTGTCATTATCTGAAGAAAGTAGGTGGAGACTCTCAATTCCTAAAGGGCTATTTTTGACCCAGGAATGTAGTTTTGGCCAGAATTAGAGCTGTGACTAGGTTAAGCGTGTTGTGGGAATCAGGGTTTCTCCCTCTCTGTCTTGCTGTCTTTTTATTAATCTTTGCTACAAGAGGGTTAATACAGTTTTGCAATTGGCCTTGAAACAACGTTTGACATTTACAGGGAAGGAAGGCGAGTCTCGTCTCTGGAGGGAAGTAATGTCCTTTCCCTTGCTTATGCTCCCATTTGTTTGCTGCGGTACAGTGTACGTTGCCTTGGAGATCTTAGAGAGAAATGAGAGTGCGCAGCTAGCATTCTACCTGGTTCAGTAAAATTCTGGGTGGTTGGTAACCTCTGATTTCAGCCTACGGATTCATTTAGCTCAGACATGTCAAACGCAAGGCCCGGGGGCCGTATGTGGACCGCAAAGTGGTTTCCTATGGCCCGCAAAGCCATCCTGGAAACAGTCAGGGAACGGCCCCCGCTGCGTTGGCACTGGCCCAGGCCGGCCGGGAGCCCATGTACAATTTTGTGGTGGCCATCCATGCTGAAATGCATTTAGTCTTAGCTCCACAAGGCCGTCTGGAAACAGCGAGGAACCAGACCCTGCCACGTTGGCCCTGCTCCCTGGGTGCATGCTGTGGAGGTGTCACCTTTTGTGAGGAATGAAGAAATGGACCATGCCTTGGTGCTTGCCCCGGTCCCACCCCCTTCTGCCAGAGACCCTCAGATCTGTCCCACTCCTGCCCAGGCCCCCACAAGCACCCTTGACGTGAACGATGTAGAGCTGGCCACGCCCACCCAGTAGGCTGCACCCACCCTGGCCACACACCCCCGCCCCCCGCCCCCCTGAGGGCAACCGCAATGCTGATGCGGCCCTCAATGAAACTGAGTTTGATACCCCTGATTTAGTTTCTCCACTAGGCAGTCTCCCGAGTTATGTCATTCGTGCAAAAATAGGGATGTGGGCACAGAGCTGGATTCTGCAGTCCAAATATAATTGGAGAGATGGCTGAGATAGAATGACAGATTTGGCAACCAGTGGCTAAGATCTTTAAAACCAAATTTTTTCCCCCTCTCTGAAAACCTTTCCTTAGCATCTGTGACGTAGTACACATCAAAGCTTGGGAAAGCTTATATGCAAAATCAAATAAAGCCAAGCTGGCTGTTTGCAATTGTGAAGTATTTGTAACGGAGAAACCGAGAAACTGTTTCTAGGAATCTGATGCTTGCTTAGCACTTCTGCTGACTGAAAATAGATTTTCACTTCTACTTGTCTAATGTGGAAATAATCTCCCCCCACTTTTTTTTTTTCAAGCACTCTAATCCACTCTGGTACCCTGAGAAGATTGCTCGGGAAAATGTGTGCAACTGGCGAATAATATATCCTCCATAATTAATTATAATCATACACTAATTTTTCTTCTGATTTTTTTTTCATTAGGATATATGCTACCATACAGCGATTTTTAGTACTGTATAATGATGTACAAAAGCATTTAGTCCAATGTATTGTGCTGGTTTTACCTTTTTGATTTTTCAAAGTATTTAGTATTGAAACATTTAAATTAAAAACTTTAAAGAATTGCTAATACTCATTTGTAAGTGATAGAATGATACATTTTGACCAGTCATGCCAATTAAAGACATATGAATTGATAAGTAAATGCCTTCTGGTGATGACTGCTCAATTTTTTTTCTTGATTTACATTTAACGTGCCTTTTATCTTTTGTTGATGGGCTGTTGATGAAACGTAAATGGGAAGTGGGATAAATGTAAGAATTGTGCGTTCTTTGGTATCTTTTTTTAGAACCTTAATTGAAATTCTAGGAAAGGAAAACAGGCTTACCATTAAATCCTGTCTATTTTGAAAAAGATCAGCAGGGGCTGCGCAAATATGTTTGGTTTGGCTCTTATTGATTCCTACCTACTAAATACTATATATGTAAAGTCCTCGCCTTATAACAGTCTGTTTAGTGACTGTTCAAAGTTACAAAGGCACTGAAAAAAGTGACTTACGACAGTTTTTCACACTTGTGACTGTTGCAGCATCCCAACGGCCACATGATCAAAACTCAGACACTTGGCAAGTAACTCACACTTATGACAGTTGCGCTATCCTGGGGTCAGGTCATCCAACCCTCTGCTCAGGCAGGAAACCCTATACTATTTTGGACAAATGGCTGTCCAGTCTCTTCTTAAAAACTTCCAGTGTTTGAGCATTCACTGCTTCTGGAGGCAGGTTGTTCCACTAGTTAATTGTTCTCACTGTCAGGAAGTTTCTCCTTAGTTCTAGGTTGCTTCTCTCCTTGATTAGTTTCCATCCGTTGCTTCTGCCTTCAGGCGCTTGGGAGAATAGCTTGACCCCCTCTTCTTTGGGGCAGCCCCTGATTGGAACACTGCTATCATATCCCCCCTCGTCCTTCTCTTCGTTAAACTAGACATACCCAATTCCAGCAACCGTTCCTTATATGCTTTAGTCTCCAGTCCCCTGATCATCTTTGTTGCTCTTCTCTGTACTCTTTCTAGAGTCTCAAGATCTTTTTTACATTGTGGGGACCAAAACTGGATGCAGTATTCCAAGTGTGGCCTTCCCAAGGCATTGTAAAGTGGTATTAATACTTCACGTGATCTGGATTCATTTTATGACATAATGCAAAATATGTCATAAAGCATTTCCAGTGGTCAATTCCTGATGTTTGATCGTGCTATATAGTTCAACATGGGCTACTTTCAAGACAGATTATTAGAATTAGAATAGAATAGAGCGGGAAGGAACCTTGGAGGTCTTCTAGGACCCCTACTGAAGCAGGAGAACCTATACCAGGCATGTCAAACTGCCGGCCCTGTGGGCCAGATACATCATACTGAAACCGCACCCACCCCATTGCCAGCAATGGGGAAAAAGTCGTGATACGTCACGCGATGTCACATGACATCACAAGTTTGACATGCTTGACCTAGCCCAGGGGTAGGCAACCTTGGCTCCTTTATGATTCGTGGACTTCAACTCCCAGAATTCCTGAGCCAGCCATGCTGAGGGGAAAGGGAGAGGTTTCCAAGCTGAGCCATGCTGGCTCAGGAATTCTGGGAGTTGAAGTCTATGAGTCATAAAAGAGCCCAGGTTGCCTACCCCTGACCTAGACCGTCTCAGACAGGTAAATGTCCAGTCTCTTTACTATCTCCCTGAATTTTAAAGAATTTTTCAAGTATATTAGAAGCTCTGCTATTGTTGTGAAAGCATTGAGAAATCTGGTTAAGGAAGTATCTCTGAAACAAGAGCTACTTCCTTGTGTAGTATGTTATATAACTCCTTCTGAAAATATAAACAGAAAAAAATGCACTTGGAAAATGATGCTGCAACCGATGCAAGGTTTAATGAGAAGTTCACACTACGTTCAGTTATCAGACTTGACTCCTCCAAGGTAAAATGAAAGGGTTCTCGCAATTTCTTTCCTTTCAGATTAATTCAGTCACTTGCTCAGCAAAAACATTTTGATGATTCAAAAAAAGTAGAGAGATCAAGCAAGATTTTTTTTCCCCAGAACATTGTATCTTGTCTTTCTCCATAATTTAAATAGTTAATTTAAATAGAAGTACTGCTTCAAGATGCGTGTCAGCAGAGTTTGGTTTCACCACAAATTTGGGAGAGAAAACATCCTAGTGGCTGACCAGTAGAAAGCAGGAAAAAAAAAAATGACATATCCACATTCAGCTACTGTTGAAAACAGATAAAATTATTTTATTTTCATCAGAACATATCTGTCTTTCTGCTACTTTTACACCATTAGCTAATTATGATTGCTTTCACATCTCCTCCAAACCCATATCCCATTTATTTATTTACTGAGCTATTGCTGTTTCTGGCTTTGTTCCCTTTTCTTTTTGGCTCTGATGCAAGTGATTTGAATCCCCAAAACATTTACTTACGCTACACTGAATTGCAAATAATTTCCTGTATATTTCTCCATGCAAAACTATCTTGTCCAAATGCTAAGCCTTAGCAGGTAAAAGCAAAACCTGAGACAAACACTGGACTCTTTACACTTGCTTTTAGGCAATGGAAAGGCAATTAATGCAACTAATTTGTAATTAAAGACATCCTGTTTAGCTTACTGTTATACGTACTCTATGTATTGGAAATTAAAGTGAATGTAAGACTATCTGTGTCTTGTCTGTCTCTATTTTACAGTAGGCGGGTTTTTTTTTTTTTTTTACTTACAAAAGAAATGATTAACTCTGATTCATACCATCAACCATTTGAATCTCTGTTTCAAAATAATATGCATTGAGCATTACTCATATTTTGTTCAATTTGTTTAAGAATTTTGCATTTCTCAGATCCAGTAAGCAAGTAAGTTAGAATAAAAGCAATATATAAGAAACCTAATGTTATAAGAAGACAACATATTTTGTTGTTATTATTTCTTCCATTGCAGCCTTTGTATCTGTTGTAAAAGCTTTTTTTTTTCTTTTTGTATTTTATCTCTCCTTGGCCTAAATTCAGATGTGGCATCTTTGTAAAACCTCACATTTGATAACAAAGAGCTTCTTAAAGTGATTCCAGAATGTGGGGGAAAAAATACAACACTAGACTTTCCTATGCTATATGTAAAAAATCTCTCTGCTGGTAATAAATAACCACATGAGAACAGTGCTAAATATTTTTGTCCAACGTTTCAGTTGCCTGCATTCAGGGATCCATGCAGCGAGATACACATTTGAAGTTGGCGCCCACTTGATTTCCTGTCTTTTATTCCATTGCCAGCACAGTAGGGAAGGCCACAAACAGGCCAGATGCTGTCAAACTATCCATCAAAATTTGCAGCAGTCAGGACCATACAGTACAAATGAAGTTTTAGGAGGGTCTGTTTCCATATCTATATGAAATCTGCAACTTGATTCGGTAAAGGAAACATATGCCAAGGTGGACACCAGAATGAGCTTTCAAGCCACTATAAATAATTGCCCCACTCTAATCGTTCTAGCCAGATTTCCCCTGGAATACTGTTGTCAAAGCCTGATGCCACTCTTTTCAACAAGACAAATGGGTTCCAGGAAAGGCAGTAGAATCAGTCAAAATACGGAAAATGAATGCTCTGAAAACACGTTGAAGGAACTGAATCAATCTAGCTGGAAGAAGGGTGGGGGTTAAGACAGCACAACACCCTTTAAATTGCATTGGTCTTTCTAAAATGTGAATCTCAAAAACCCAGAAAGCAAAATACTTAATTATTTACAACTAATTGTTATATTAGAAAGCTACAAACCTAAGACATTTCTAAATCCCCAGTTTGTTCTTTTAGGGGACATATTTAAATGACTGAAGAATTAAGCTGGAACTATATTGCTATAACTTGCTCCTGCGTTTCAAAATTCAGCTGTGATGTTCGTATTTTCTTCCATCCAACTTTTATACTGCCTGAAAATCACACAAAAGGAGGCTGCTCTTTGTTCATTTGCACCTTCCCTCCTGCACAAAATACTTTTGAGAGGTAATGGATGCTTTAAAACAGATCCTGTTTGGAAACATGTAGAGGCTCTTAGTTGTTTGATGCCTGATATTTACCCAGAGTCTATAGGAGCAGATCTGTTCTCAAAAGGGATGCAGGAACAATAATATTCAGCTGAATTCGGGAATAAATGAAGTCAAAAGCAAAAATAGGATTGTACATCTCCTTAAAGGCCTCATTCCATCGGAACTTCTTCGGAGATATACATGTATTCGATTGCTGTCTCATTTACACAAAGCTATTTATTATTTTGCAGTCCCAAAGCATCTAGGTTTGTCCACCCCACAACACATGGGCCTCATGCAGCCCTGGACTCCTAGTAATGCGGCCCCACAAGTTAATAAAAATTTAAATAAAGGAAGTTAACTATAGTATATATTTGATACATACAAGACAATCCCTCTTCACTCAGTGCAGCCCAGCAAGCCAAAAGGTTGGGCAACTGTGATCTAGAGTGATAATTCAACAAAAATCAATATTGCCTTCATCCCGTCTTCTCCACAAATGCTCAATTCTATCTAATCAATCTCGTCTAAGGCATTCCTGTTACTTGCCTCATTTTACTACAGTAAGAGACCCAGCCTGTTTAGGAGCGATAAGCGATTCCTGCAATAACTTAAATAAGATTCAAGGTAAGCTATGCATTAAAAAAAAATCTACATTTTTTATTTTTACTTTGCACTGACGAGTTGCATTATGCTGGGTGTGCTTGTGTGCAACTCTTATCACATTCATCCCCGCATCGGGGAGAGAAAAATAAAAATCTCTACCTCCGGTCCTGCTGGCCAATGGCTTTTCGCCCGTCGTTTCCTGCCAAGCCACCCCTAATGACTGGCCGGCCAGCCAACCGCGCAGAACCCCGTTCGGTCAAGGCCCCAAGAACCGGAGAGGGCGGCAAAAACTACAATTCCCAAGATGCCCCGGGGCCCGTACTTTGGCGCCGGCCAATGGGAGCGCGTCTTTTTCCCGGCGCCGCCTGTGTGTGGAGCTTTGTGTGCGTGAGGAAAGAGAGGAGGCGGAGGAAGCGGGAACGAGCAGGGCCGAGACCGGGACGCCGAGAACGAGCGGAGCGCCAGCGCCCCCTTCCTTTCCCCCCGACTCGGTGCCGCCCCCCTTCCCGCGCCCTCGGCGGCTCTCTCGAGGCCCTGCGGCTCCTCGGCCGCCCGGGACGGCACCCGGAGGGGAAGCGGCGGGGGGGAAGAGGCGGGGACCGAGGCCGGACGAGCGGGAAGCCTGCAGAAATTGAGCCCGGGGATCGAACGCGGCCTACTGCGGGGCCAGGCCCGCCCCCCTTGCCGAGCCTGGCTCGGGCCGGCCTGGCTCGGGCCTTCCCCGGCGTGACTCCCGCGTTTTGTGTCTCGGCGGCGATCGGTCCGATACGGCGGGGGGAGTTAGAATGGAACTGACTGAAGGTGAGGCGGGATGGAGGGGGGGAGGAGGAGGGTGAGCGGGAGGGGCGGGGCTTGGGGCGGGGGCGGGGCCAGAACCCTGGGTGGCGAGGCAGCCGCGCGGGCGGTAGGGCGGGCGCTGCTAACAATGCAGCCGACTCTCTAAAGTTGCTAGTCCTCATCAGGCTTTGCTTCTCCAGGTTGCGGCGCTTAACTCTGGCCCTGTTTTTTTTTGTAAAAAGCCCCTAATCTCTTGGATATGATAAGTTAACAATAAGTTTCTGCTGGGATTCTTGGAGTTGCAAATGGGGAGGAAAGGCCAGGCTTGGAAAGTTGGGCTTTTCCCCCTTCTCTTCCATTTTTTCCCCCCTCTTGCATTGACGTCTTTTTTTAAAACAACAGCAACAATACAATACCTTAGAGCGGTTTGGTTGCTGAAAAGGAGGCAGCTTGTGCAACTTGCTACATTGTATACGTGTCATAAGTTGCAGATGCCGTTTGTATTTGTAAGTGGTGTGTTTGTATACCATTTATACAATGTTTCGGCGTGCACCCATTACAATTTTTAAAAGTGTATCCATTTATGTCAACACCGCCTAGTAAGTAACATTTAGTAATGGACAGTGGTGTGGAGTCAGAGTCCTGCAAACATCAGCTCCCCAATTCTGTTTATCTCGTAATCTCAGCTTGTCTAAACCTATCATGGCAACTATGTAAAAATTAAATGGAAAGAAATATATCTATGATACTTTGAGCTTTTTAGATGCAGGATAACACACAGGCATGACAGATCACCTCTGTACATATTGCATTCATGCCCAAGCTGCTGGGTGAAAGGGCAAATTACCTGAAATCAATTATGATTTTAAATTTGGAGTCAGGTTTCTTGAGTTCAGCCTTCTCCAACCTGCTGCCTTTCAGATGCATTAAATTACAGCTATTATCAGCAGAATAGTTGGATGCTGGAATATGAAGAGATGTAATTCTGTTCCACATCCTGAAGGATTAATTTGTAGAAGGCAAGCTGATGGTTATTGTGGAAGAATGGCTTTTGAGAAAGGTTTTGAATTTTGAGAAACACTGTGTGTTTAGTTGCTAGTTAGCAAAAAGCACTAGTCAGTAATAAGCAATTAAAAATATTCAGGTATTAATGCTGTGTGTTAATTACTCCACTACAGCTCAGTCCCTGCTAATACATGGTTAAATTGTAGTGGGAAGAGGAATAGAGAATATTTTTTGGCAGTTAGAGAACTAATGATATGAAAATGCATCAGAAATGAGACACAATAAAGAGGAACAGATTAATGTGTGGAAATGGGCTCAAAACTTTTTCAGAATCTGAAGAGAACTAAGGATATATGCAGGGTAAGAATAAGCAAAATTAAATTGCTCAGAATTCTGAAGGAAAGAACTGGCTCCATTGATCATTGTGATAGCACTGGAGCAGACATGTACTCCAAACACGGTGCAGGATCTACTGGAACCTTTCTGACAGAGGACCACCCAGCCTCAGAAGACCTCTATCAATGATCAAGTGAGCCATCATTTTTAAGAAGGTTCAGATCAATTAGTAGTGGGAGGATTGTGGTGAGAGCCCAGTACTGTGTTATGATCTTGGTGATAAAAGCAGGGCTCCTGAAATAATTTTAAATGGTTTCTCTTTTTTAAACGTCAACCCTCTTAGTTTAAAGAATAAAAGAGTCTGTTTTATGGAAAGAGAGAGAGAGAGAGAGAGAGAGAGTGTGTGTGTGTGTAGTGGAATGAATGACGTTAGGAAGGAATCTGTGCTGTGTGATCTGTACATGGTAAGCAAGACGGTCATAGAAGAAGCATGTGTGAGAGCAGAGAGAGAGAAAGAATCTGGAAGAGGTGTGAGGTCTGAACTGTGGATTTTGAATGGATTATACAACACAGTGCTAATCGCTGTTGTGTGACATTTTGCGTGGGAAGGCATGAAGAGTCACGAGACAGGCAGGGACATTCTTGGAATTGGGAAGTTTTAGGCTGACCTGGTAGTGAAGCAGCCTTTTGTGTGTGTTTGTGCTTGCAGCGTCTACAATGTATAAATATGCACAAACATCTCGGGGTTTGAACTTCGAATTGGAAATATTCTCTTCCAGGGGGAGCATCTCTGGCTCTCTTGGAAAAGGGAGAAGGATAATTGTGGTGAGACTATAGATAATAGTTTTGTGTGATGGAGGAGAAAGAGGAGGGCCACTTAGATTTAAAGGGGCAGAGGCAGCCATATTTGCTGCCAGATACTGCAGTGTAAAATCTCTTTCCTACTCCACCCCCAGCCTTCCCTCCAAAGGAAACCAGCCCTGTTTGGGGTTAACAAACGGGGTTTTACTTCTTTCACCGGGATCCTTATTCCCTGCTTACCATTACACTGTTTCAGATTTATCATAAACAAACTGGAGAAGCTTTCCATCTTTTCCTCCCTCCCTTCTTTTCTGCAGCCAGGACTGCTAGGGACTGCGGTGCAGGAATTAACCCTTTTCAGTACAAATCTGCAGCAGGGTTATTCTGATTTTTTTTTCTTCTTCCCCCTCTCCATTTTCATGAAGAATTAAAGAGAAATAGATAGAAGGGCTGCCTTTCTCGCATGTGGCAAAAGGAGCTGAAATGTCCTCTACAATTTCTCTAAGTAAACAAGGAAATTGCATCCCCATCAGCTGCTGACAAAAGGCACACTTGTTTGTGCACAGCTAGCTAAAATTGATCTTTTAAATGTAATACCAGCGAGGATTTTCTCTAAGGCTTTTCTCAATGTTTTTTTTTTCTCTCTCTTGTCTATTTTATGTTGATAGTGAGGCGATTTCTCTGTTTTAATCGTCACTGAATTGGGCAAAGGGTGTTGTTTGAATTTCATGCACAGCAGTCAACAGCGATGTGAGACAAATTGCTGTTCAGGTATCTAATTAGTGGGAAGTAGGTATATTTGTGTAATGTTTGAAAGTATTTTTCAGTTTCATAGTGCAGGAGAGAAAAGCTCCATATCCTGAATATTATATCTTTACTATATTAGATATGCTAATTCTGTTTCTCCTGTATTAATATGATGTTTGGACAACTGGAGCAGTATGTATGACTATCTTGTAAATAAGGCACCACCTTAGTATGCTTGGATGTACTTTATATTGTTTGATCCTGCATTGTTCAGTTTTGGAACACAAATAGACATATTTATATGAGTGTTCCTTTTTGCTGTACTTATTCAAGAGACTTCTCAGTGGTGCTGTTTTTGTCTTTTAAAAACTTACCAGCTGATAAAATATAATGTATTATTGTGATTGATTCAAGGATGTAGTTATCATAGTAGCATTTCATTAATATTTCAGAATTTCCTCATGTTGGACTCAGCAGTCAGTCTAGCAATGGAGCCATTCTTTCTGGTTTCTATTTTTCTTTAAGTGGGTCATAGTAAAAGATGATCAATGCATGACAGAAGGTGTGCCTGCACAGCTTACAGTGATAATATTAGGTTTCTGTGACAGAATAAATGCTAATGAACATGTAAATATAAGCTGAGAAAAGTGAAATTTGTAGCCAAATGCTTTCCAGGAATAATGTATTTTCTCCCCAAAATGAATGATTTGTTGTGACTTAAGTGCTACATGTATGTAAAGCTAGAAATGACTCATCACATTGTATGATGGTAAAGCTGGAGAACAGTTTTGCAGTTCATGGCAAACACTCTAGATTTCTGCATGATTTAAAAACATGAAGATGAACAGGTTATTGTGTTGGTACAAAAAATATCAGCCAAGTGAGATGATATATTATTTTATATGGTAATATAAATACTGGAATCAGTTTGAGAAATAAGCTTTTCTGATATTTTGAAAGCCAACTATTTCAATATCAATAGCAGTACATAAGCATGCTACTGTAAGTTTTTATTTACATATTTTAATCTGGAAAGAGGAACTTTGCCCAGGCTTTTTTGAATGACAAATAAATGCATGTATATGAGAATAGTCATTGGAATCCAGGTTGTGTATGTGCAAGTAGGGATGTGATGGGAGGCAAACATTGTAGTAAGGCAAACTTCTTTTGGAAGGGGATGCCATTAATTTCAACAGAATTTAAAAGTTGTTGCTTATTACTGAAGGCTCCGCCATAAGGTCTCCTCCCATAATTGTTGCTGATTATTGCTGTCTGTATATAAGTTGTTTTATTTCTTGTCCTATGAGTATATGAGTACTCCCAAATAGTATATAAATGATCAAGTAATATTGTGAAAACAAAAAATCACAAATGGCTATAGGCAGCAATGGGATAATCAGAACTTAATAAATCACCTGATTTTTTCTTTCCTTCCTTCCTTCCCTCCCTCCCTCCCTCCCTCTCCTTTCTTCCTTGCCTCCCTCTCCTTCCTTCCTTCCTTCCTTCCTATTTATATTTCACATTTTCAAGGTTGCCTATCTTCTCAATTACTCTAAATGATGTACAGAATTAAAGTCAAAGTTACAAAGCATCAAATAGAACAGAAAAGGGGAGTGATCATCCTAGTGGAACAAACATCCACGAAAAAGCCCTCACAGGTGGAACTCACCTCCTACCATAGAATAAAGTCTAAGGAAAGAGCCAAATGTTCAAGGCACAATTAAAGGACAGCAGGATCAGAGTCATCCGAATCTCCGAAGAGATATTGTTCCAGAGGTCAGTGGTCATGATGAAGAAGGCACATTTCCTAGCTCCTATCAAATGACATTTCTTAATAGATGAGATTCGTAGCATGATGTTGCTCTGTCTTGTTTTATAGGATGGGCAAAAGCAATGGGGGAGAGATAGATTCTCAAATTACTATGGGGTATGGGCCTTTGTAGGTGATAAACAGCTCTTGAATTGTACCACAAAGCCTACTGATCTAGTAGTGTCACTCCTGTAGCAGTGGTACATGCCCATGACTGCAACTGGATCAGTTGAAGTTTCTCATTGGGTCTTCAAGGGTAGCCCATGTAGAAATCATAGAAGTAATCTACATTCAAGGTTATCAGGGCCTGAGTGATAATGAGTAG